GATACTCTGTCCTGGATTGGTCCATGCCAGGGAGCTGGTCCCAGCCTGCATCCAGCAGCTTGAATAAAGTAGGTCTTTGCTAGTCAGACTCATTTCAGCTGCCCAAAGCAGAGCTGTAGATATGCTGATGTAAAACTGAGCTGTCACCTTCCTTTGGAGAGCAAATCCTCAAGGCTGGCCTTGGGCTCCTGGAGGAAAAGAGCTGTGCTTGGCAAGGGTGTCTGTCTGCTGAGATGGCTGAGGTGAGGGATTAGCACCCTCTGAGGCATCTTAGATGGGAACAGAGAGACAGAAGTATAAATAACCACAGATTTATTGGGAAACACAGTCAAACAAACATGATTTCCAAACCGTGTCAGGCTGCTGCTGTGGGGGTTTGTTGGTTTTCTGTGACACTCACTTAAGGGATTATAAAAGTCTTTTGCAGATCTCCAGCACAAGCCGTTGCTCGTGGATCTCACTGTAGAAGAGGGTCAGAGACTCAAGGTTATCTTTGGATCACACACTGGTTTCCACGTGATCGATGTAGATTCTGGGAACTCCTACGATATCTATATACCCTCTCACGTGAGTACCCAGCACAGCACTCCAGCAAGGTTGGCACAGGCTCTTGGTGGCTTGGTCATGGTGACTGGTCAGGTGACATCTTGCCATGGGTGTGACATTCTCGAGTGTCATCCTCATCGATACTTGCTTAAAAAGGACTCAGAGGTATCACAGACTTCACGGCAGCGCTGGGTTAACAGTTGGGCTTGATGATCTTAAAGGTCTTCTCCAACCAAAATGATTCTGTGGTTCTGTTTGTTATTTGCCCAGGCTGTTTCTGGCCTCTTGTCCAAGCAGTCAGGTTTAAGGTCACCACGTCCCACAGGAAGGAGAATCTGTCTGTACACTTCATGGAGCAGTAATGGAGCTCTGTCTAAGGCAGGATACCATGAAACCAGGTTTTTAGTTGTTGAACAACGTAAACCCACTAAGAGCTGGATGCGCTGCGCACTGTCCTATTGCATGGTGTCCCAGATGTGCTCACCAGCACATGGTCCTGCTGAGGCAGCACAGGTCGCCCAGGTGAAGGTTGCAGGATTAGGATAGCCCAAATCTCAGTAAGCTTGCTGCTCAAAACTCCCAGGCCCCCTCACAGCAGGGACTTGGCACAGGACCTCTCGCAGGTCCATCAGCTGTTTCAAGAGAAACTAGTGCTACAAAAACTGCTGTAGATGAGGACTTTCTTATTGGCTTATTTAAGCTCTGTCCATGCTGTTGGCCCAAGCAGCATGAGAAGCTGGTCTAGGAGAACCTGTGTTACTAATGAAATCCAGGAACTGCTGAATCTGATCTGAGCAGCGGAGTCTCCTCTGTGAGACCTGGCAAGAAGCATAACGAGAAATACTGGGGTAATTTGGGATGATTTTGTGTTGTCTTAGCTATGGAAGGGCAGACATGGGTGGAAAGTCACAGTAGCTGCCCCTGGAGCTAGAGGCTGATAGCTAGAAAATGGGAATATTTCTTCCCTAGGGCTGTAAAATTCTGGATTTATTTGCTTTAATTTGGATAGGAGATGGATTCAGTCAGCAGTTGCTTGTTCCTGCCAAGTATCAGGCGTCAGTCTTGGAGCAGTCTATGCTGGGATCTTTCTCTAATTGCCAAATCTGTTTATCCTTGATGTCTTAGACAGCTTTGATGGTAGGGTAAACATGACAGTTTATTCCCCTTCCAGCTTATCTCTGCAAGCCAGTTCCTGTGTGGTGAATGGGGGGCGGTTTTGTTCTCAGGTTGAGTCGGGGTTTTGTTTTCCTAAGGCTCTGCTCCCTTCTTCCATTCAATGTAATTCTGACTTTTAGGGTTTCTTTTAACTGCAGATTCAGGGCAATATTACTCCTCACGCCATTGTCATCCTGCCTAAAACAGACGGGATGGAGATGCTGGTGTGCTACGAGGACGAGGGCGTGTACGTCAACACCTACGGGCGGATAACTAAGGATGTGGTGCTCCAGTGGGGAGAAATGCCTACTTCCGTGGGTACGTCAGCCCTGCCTCTTCACTCCTTAAAGGGCAAGGGGCTAGTAAGATGAGGAGTCGAGAAACCTGAGATGGACTCATTTGGGCTTTTGTTTATCGAAGGAGATTTCTCTCAGCCAAATAAGAAATACAGTTGCTAAATTTCTACACTTGGGTCCTCCATAATAAAAGGAAGTGAATTCTTCAGGTTTTGAGCTCCAGTTTGTCTTCAGTGTAAGATTAAGATTAGTGTAAACTTAATGTAAGCCGTTGCACTGGTGGGATACTGTGTTGAGTGAAAGAGGGGCTGGGTGTGGAGCTGGGAGCACTTGGGTTGCTCTTCTGGCTCTGTTCCTCAGCTCCACAACCCATAGAGGCAGGTCCCTGCCCAGCTCCTGCTGTGCAGCAATCAGAAGAAGTTTACTACTTCTCTTTAAATTACTTGCCAGTCCCTGAATGAAAAGTGCTGCTATCCCTGTGGGCACATGCCTGGCCACTTTTACCTCGGTCTGTCAGAGCTCTGCCATTGATCTACACAGGCTTTGAATAACAGCTGATGAGGGTTTTTCTACCTGTTGTGTAATATTTAGCTCAACACACGTTGTAACACCTACCAAACACTTCCTTTTGACAGCCTACATTCATTCCAATCAAATAATGGGCTGGGGAGAGAAAGCTATTGAAATCCGGTCAGTGGAAACAGGACATTTGGATGGAGTATTTATGCACAAGCGAGCTCAAAGGTTAAAGTTTCTATGTGAAAGAAATGATAAGGTAAGTCCACTTCAAAGCTGGTATCTGTCTTTTAAGCCACAGACTACTTTTAGACTTTAAATCTGGTTTATCTTGCAGTTAATAATTAATCTGAAGGTCCTGTTTAATAAGAAGTGCCTATAAACCCACTCCAAATTAATTCTCTCCAGTGGATGAAGACCTCAGCCTGTGGTGGAAAGATCTACAAGATTTCTTCCACATCTAGCTGAGATCTGCGTTGACTTGGCTTGACTTTCTCCTGAGTTTTGCATCTGAACATCAACTATTGGGGCTGCCAAATAAACTCTGCAAAAGTTGAGGAACAGCAGCAGTAAGGATGCCTCAGTGACCCTGACTTGAGCTCTGGCACAGAAACAAATTGATGAGTCTTTAGATGCATTTTGATGCATCTGAAACTGTTTTCTCCATGGAGCCCCATGTTCTCTTGTGGGCAGCACTGATAAATTAAGCTCTGGAGGGTCACCAGAGTTGCGTGGGGAATGCAGCCATCACATAGATGACCACTGCTGTGGGTGTTGCTGATGTGCAAGCAGTGCAGGGAGAAACTGGCTGGAGGAAAAGGAATATTTGCATGGAAGAGATGGTTGAACTCCAAGGTCTGTTTCTGCTCTTGGTATTTCCTCATCTCACAAGGCTTCACCGAGATAAATAGGGACCATCAGGGAGTTCTTTCGTAACGAGCACGATCACAAAACACGTGAAGAAACTGCTTGCTGTGTCCCCAGAGAAGGGTTTAATGACGTGCAATAAATAAGATTTGAGGCCACGATCAGTTTATCGAGCAGCTGCTTACTAGTGGAGCACTGTCCTCCCCGTCACATGGAGTTGGGCTGGAGCTCTGCAGGAAAACTGTCTCCTAACCTTCCAGCTGCCCTAGAAGCTGAATTTAAGTTGCTCTGACACCCCTAGTCTGCTTTTCTCCAACTTCTGAGCACTTGACTCTGCAGGTTTTAAAGAGGCTTTTTTTCTGGTTTGCTCCTATTGATTATTTATTCCTAAGAAAACTGGAAAAAAAACACCTCAGTCTTTCTAAAATACAGGACCCAACTGGTCACTGCTGGTTTGAAATACTGAAACCAGCTGTTTCTCTTTCTGAAGAAATGGTTAACAATGAAAATCATGTGAAGTTTGACTCATTTTTAGTTGTAAAAAGGACAAAGGCTTCAGATTGTCCCCTTCAATATAGGCAGATTTGAGCTTGTTTAGTTTTTAAGGCCACCACTGGAGTCAGATGCTGGTGGATCCCAACAGAAGCAGCAGAAATTGTATTCTTCATAGAGCCCTGGTCACGTTTGTGTGCTTTGAGCACATTGAGGGAAAGGAGTTTCCTTGAGCTTTACTTTCAGGAACAGCTGGAATGCTAGGACTGACTTTCCCAAAGAAAACCATTTCACAGCGGAGCGGCCGATGACCCAGATGGTTAACATTTAGCAGGATTCAGACCACTGACAGCAGTCTTATTAATGCTGCATATAAGAAATGGTATTGAGACAGTAAAATGTGATAAACTTGGTATTTTTAAAGTGTTCCAAACCTTGCTCTCTTCGGGAGCGATAGCGAGGGAGGTTTTATTACCGTGTTTACTAATAAGTGGTTTGATTTGATCCAAGTCTGGCGTGGGTCCACCCCTGAGCTCTGCAGAAAACTGAGAACTGGACATTAGGTCCTTGGAGAATTTCTGCTGTTAGCCGGAGAGGGAGGTTTAGGCAGAGCAAACCATGGGGTGTGGGGCAGCTCCTGCTATCCACGCCCACCCAGACAACAGACTTTTTCCTCATAAGAATAAAAATTATGACGAAGATGATTTTTTTTTTTTTTTTTTTTTTTGCTTCCAAACAGGTATTTTTCGCATCGGTGAGATCCGGAGGAAGCAGCCAAGTGTTTTTCATGACCCTCAACAGAAACTCCATGATGAACTGGTAACAGAGGAGCACTTGGCACTCACCGACATGGCATTACTTCTAATTGAAAGGACATTAAACACGTGGACTAACACTGTTGAGGCAGGTGTGGGGGGCCCCAAGGAACGCCGGCCCCCTGGCACTGCCGGCCCCGGGGCACGGCTGCGGGCAGGGGCGGACTTTTGCGCTTGGACCCCCTCGAGGTCTCCTGGTTATGCTGTGTTATAGTGGGTTATGAGTTCTCCTTTATTTTATTTTATTTTTTTTAATTTGACTTTTTCTTTGTCCCCTACTTTGTAAGAGCGGGGAAAGAAACAGTGTCAAAAAGTCTGTTTTTAATTCTGTCTGCCTGCTAGCATCAAATATATAGTATGTTGTAAAGTTACCAATTAAATCTGGTGAGAGACAGCACAATAAATGTACCTTTTATCTTTGTGATGAAGGCCATAACCATATAGCTGGGTAATTTTAGGAATCTTTTGCCTTCACCAACATTTGCGTGTTGCTTTTGGCAGCAACGGCTTAACGGATTTTTAAAGAAGAGAAGAAATAATAGGGTTTTTTTTCCCCTCTTTTGGGAAATGGATTTTAAATGGCTAAACTACTAGCCTTAGACTAATAAAAGTCAGCTACCATTTTTGTCAAGTCTGTCAATCCATATCTCTATATGGATCTTCACATGACGGCGTGTCTGGGTAGGGGCAGTGGTGCCCTTTGTCGCCGCCCCGGGTTT